GTGTGGATCAGGGTCGGGAACACCTGAGGAATCCGAAGGAGCACAAGTCCATGGGACCTGATGAAATACATCTGCGGGTCCTGAAAGAATAAGTGGATGAGGTGGTGAAACCTCTACTCATCATATTTGAGAAGTCATGGCAGCCTGGTGAAGTTCCCACTGACTGGAAAAGGGGAAACAACCCCCATCTTTAAAAAGGGAAAAAAAGAGAACCTGGGAAACTACAGGCCAGTCAGTGTCACCTCTGTGCCTGGCAAGATCATGGAGCAGATCCTCCTGGAAACCATGCTGAGGCATATGGAGAATGAGGAGGTGGTTGGTCAGAGCCACCATGGCTTCACCAAGGGCAGATCGTGCCTGATGAATCTGGTGGCCTTCTACGATGTGGTCATGATTTTGGTGGCTAAACGATGGGCAACTGATGTCATCTACCTGGACTTGTGCAAAGCGTTCCATACCGTCCATGTCATCATCCTTGTCTCTAAATTGCATTGGTGTGGATTTGGCGGATGGACCACACTGTGGAAAAAATCTGGCTTGATGGTTGCACTCAGAGAGTGGTGGTCTCTGAGTGGAGACCAGTGACGAACTGGCCATCATCCAGCCTGGCCTTGAACACTTCCAAGGATGTGGCCATCCACAACTTCTCTGGGCAACCTGTTCCAGTGCCTCACCACCCTCACTACCCATGAAGAATTTTTTCCTGATATCCAAACTAAAGCTCTCTAGGGAAAAAATTAATTATTTAGGAAGGACACATAGTACAAGTTACTGTAAAATATTAGTCTCATTGTTTTAACTTTAGTTAATTACAGGGTTTTATTAGTTATGTCCTCAGACTCAGGATTATTAGCATCAGCAATGCATAGTGTTACTGAATTTTTGAAATTAACATAATAAACCTTTTTTTTCAGAGGAATATGCATGTAATTATTTACATCTGGGCTGTCTCTTGAATCCCACAGCTGCACACCACCGTGGCTGGCAGTACTAATGTAAGTGTGACTAATATACAGAGGAAAAAATAAAAAGGAAGTTTACTTTGGGCAACTTTAGCACTCAGTATCGAATTTTTGGATTTGGAGGTGAAACCTCATGACAGCCTAACCTTGCCTGGCAGTTAACTGAGACCCAGACGTCACACCCATCACTACTCCAGAGTCCTTAGGGTGGACCTGGTGTATTTTCAGACCTTACCCGCCAGGCTGTGCTGAAACCCTTCAGATGCCTTTTGATCTGCGGAGTGCTACTGCCATGTACCCAGCCTGCTCCCTTGCAGTGATGTCGAGCCATTTGGGTTAATGAATGCCGTTTGTTTGTACAGAACTGCAGAGATCCTGTCTATCCAAGAGTGAGCACCAGTTCAGAGTGTGCGTGTGTTTTAGCCAAAGTCCACATACTTAGCCGCTATAGTTTGGGGGTGTGTGTGTCATTCGTAGCCTTAAGTGTGAGATCTCATTCCCAACCAGAAATCTGAGAGTTGTTGACTTGGCAGCTGCTCAGCTTAAAAAAAAAAAGAAAAATAAGAGAAACAGAGATGACGTGGTGGGCCTGTGCTAAATTTTTATTTTTTTTGCTGGGGGAGGCAAAGCAGCACTGAGACTAAATCGGTGCTGGCATCAGGGGCTACTAAAAAATTATTTGACCTGATGTTGCAATAAAAGTTAATGTGCATGTTCTTCAGCTGCAAAAAAAATGACACTTGAGTTACCACTGAAAGATGGAGTTCCTGCCAAAAAGCGTCAGTTTTGATTATTTTTTTTTTAAGGAAGAAATAATGAATCATTTTAATCCTTTTTTGCTAATGTCAATATGTCGTTTTGAGAATAACAATATCTTGTTCTAAGTTTAGCACTGTACTTCCTTTTGCTCCTGCTCTTTTCTGAAAAATTTAAATATATTATTTTTAATATATCATGATGTCATTGAAACTACTTCAAGACTAGAATAGTTCAGTATCATTGTGTTTCCTTCTTCTATGCGCCTTTCTAAATATAATTTCTATTCAGCAATAAAATGAAATTCTGACTTCACGTATTGATTTAGCATAAATAAAATTATCACAGAATAGGATTTCAATTTCTTAAATGGCATTAATAAATTATTCTGTAAAGAGTTATGTCTCCTTCCAAAGAGAGCGAGGCATGTCCACTATCAAATCACTCCTTGCCCCACTCTGGCCATTGTGGAAAGATGCTTTCTGTGGCTGGGCAAGGCTTGCAGCTTCCCTCAGCAGACAGCCCTCTTCTCATCTCCACCGGCCAATTAGCCGAAGCCTGTGCCTTTGCCTTTTGCATCTCTTGCTTCAGTTACTGAACACTTGTTTGAATATTTGTTATGAACTTTCTAGGTTTTCTCCTTATCTGGGACATTCAGCATTTCACTGGCTTTTGAAGAGCTGTTTTCTGCACAGCCTCCCTCTCCCATTCCAGTGCCTACTCCAACCCTTTCCTGCCCTTCTCCCCCCCATCCTGGGTGCCAGGAAGCAGCCAGAGCCGGCTGCCCTGCCGAGGAAGTGGATCCCAGGTGGAGGATGAAACAAGGCGGGCAGAGGGGGATGGCACCCAGAGGAGCGCAGTTCCACAGTGCTCAAATACGGTGAGTGGAGCAGGTCTGGTGAGAGGAACGAGCATCAGACAGCAGGGCAAGCACAAAAGCAGGTCTGAGGCCAAGGAGTCACAGTGGTGAGTCGCGCTCAGCCACGAGCACGGCCAGGTGCAGGTAGACCGGCACAGCAAGTCTAGGCAGGGCTCCGTACCTTAATGCCATGATTCGTTGCTGAAGACTGCTGTTCAGATGGTAGGAAAACCGTTGACCTTTGTAAAATCAATGCCACAGGCTGAGTGCCAACTGAATATTTAGACTAAAACTTGAAACTTTGTTAGTTTCAAGTATGTGTTTATGATGATCTGTGCAGAATTTAGAGTTAAGAGTCGATTACACAGAGGTGAGAGAAAAAGCACGTTAGAGGAGTTCATTGACTTACAGATAGCATGCTCATGTATATTTTCATTCAAGGCCCATTTCTAC